AAAAAAATCATAAAAATCCCACCAAATTATTTCAATCTCCACAAAATTCCACAACATTCCTCAAAATTTTGACAAAATTCCACAAGAATTCCACAAAACTCCACCAAAATTCTTCAAAATCCCACTAAAGCCCACAATAATCCCACCAAATTCCACAAAAAGCACACCAAAAAAATTCCCAAAAAATTCCCCCCAAAACGGCCCAAAATTCCCCAAAAAATTCCCAAAAATCCCCCCCAAATCACCCCAAAAATTCCCAAAAAATTCCCAAAAAAATCCCCCCAAAACGGCCCAAAATCACCCAAAAATTCCCAAAAAATTCCCAAAGAATCCCCCCAAATCACCCCAAAAATTCCCCCAAAACGGCCCAAAAATCCCCCAAAAATCTCCCCAAAAAGTCCCCAAAATTCCCCCCAAAAAATCCCAAAATCCGCCCAAAAATCACCCAGAAATTCCAAAAAAATCCCCCCCAAAATTCCCAAAAATCAGCTCCAAAAATCCCAAAATTCGGCTGCAAAATTCCCCCGAAAATCTCCAAATTCAACCCCAGAAAAATCCCCAAAATCGGCCCAAAAAGTCCCCAAAAATCCCCAAATTTTCCCCAAAATCCCCAAATTCAGCCCCAAAAAAATCCCCAAATTCGGCCCCAAAAATCCCCAAAATTTGGCACAAAAAAATGCCCCAAAAATCCCAATTTTCAGACCAACAAAAATCCCCAAACTCTGCCCCAAAAACCCCCAAAATTCCCATTTTTTCTCCCCAAACGCCCCAAATTTCCCCAAAATTCCCATTTTTCACCCCAAAATTTTCATTTTTTCACCCCAAACCCCCCAAAATTCCCCAAATTTTCCCAAAATTTCCATTTTTCACCCCAAAATTCCCATTTTTTCACCCCAAACCCCCCCAAATTCCCCCAAAATTCCCATTTTTCACCCCAAAAACCCCATTTTTTTTTCTCTTTTCCAGCCCCTCCCCCACTTTTCCCGTATTTATTTCGCCGTGAGAGAAAAAAAAACCCCAAAAAATCCTGAGAAAAATTCCCGAGGAAATTCCGCCCCTCCCCCACCCCAATTTAAAAAAAAAAAAGTGGATTTTTGTGTGTTGTGACGTCACTTCCGGTGGGGGGGAGGGGATTTATTGGGGTGGGGGGAGGGGCTCGGGGTCTTCGTCGTCCTCGAAGGTCAAAGTTCGCCGGGGGTCCGGGGTGGGGGAGGGGCTCCTGTGGGGCACAGGGGGGTCAGTGGGGGAGGGGAGGGAGGGGGGAGGGGAAAATTCGGGAATTTGGGGGGGATTTTTTTGGGGATTTTTTGGGAATTTTTGGGGATTTTTTGGGAATTTTTTAGGAATTTTTTTGTATTTTTGGGGGATTTTTGGGGGAATTTTTTTGTATTTTTGGGGATTTTTTGGGAATTTTTTTTGTATTTTTGGGGGATTTTTTGGGAATTTTTTAGGGATTTTTGGGGAATTTTTTGGGGAATTTTTTTGTATTTTTGGGGATTTTTTGGGAATTTTTTGGCAGTTTTTTGGAATTTTTTTGGGATTTTTGGGGGATTTTTTGGGAATTTTTTTTGTATTTTTGGGGGATTTTTTGGGAATTTTTTTTGTATTTTTGGGGGATTTTTTGGGAATTTTTTAGGATTTTTTTTGTATTTTTGGGGGATTTTTTGGGAATTTTGGGGATTTTTTAGGAATTTTTTTGTATTTTTAGGAATTTTTTTGTATTTTTGGGGATTTTTTGGGAATGTTGGGGATTTTTTAGGATTTTTTTTGTATTTTTGGGGGGATTTTTTTTGGAATTTTAGGGATTTTTTGGGAATTTTTGGGGGGTTTTTGGGGAATTTCAGGGATTTTTTGGGAATTTGGGGGATTTTTTTTTGTATTTTGGGGGGGATTTTTTTGGGAATTTTAGGGATTTTTTGGGAATTTTGGGGATTTTTTGGGGAATTTTGGGGATTTTTTGGGAATTTTTTAGGAATTTTTTTGTATTTTTGGGGGGATTTTTTGGGAATTTTTATTTTTTATTTTTTGGGAGATTTTTGGGGAATTTTTTTTGCGAATTTTTTGGGAGATTTTCGAGAGGAATTTTCAGGAATTTTTGGGAATTTTCGGGGGAATTTTCTGGAATTTTGGGGAATTTTCTGGGAGAATTTTCAGGAATTTTTGGGGGAATTTTCTGGAATTTCCAGGAGAACTTTTGGGGATTTTTTTGGGAACTTTTTGGGAGTTTTTGGAGATTTTGGGGGATTTTTTTTGAGATTTTCGGGGAGAACTTTCAGGAATTTTGGGGGGAATTTTCTGGAATTTGGGGGAAAATTTTTGGGGGAATTTTCTGGAATTTTTGGGAATTTTCAGGGAGAATTTTCAGGAATTTTTGGGAGAATTTTAGGGAATTTTGGGGGGAATTTTGGGGGGAATTTTCAGGAATTTTTGGGAATTTTCAGGGAGAATTTTCAGGAATTTTGGGGAATTTTGGGGGGAATTTTCTGGAATTTCCAGGAGAACTTTTGGGGATTTTTTGGGAATTTTTTGGGGGGGAAATTCCGCGCAATTCCGGAACTTTCCGGGAGCTCTCACCTGCTCCCCTCCCCCCTCGGGGCGGCTCCTTCCTCCTCCTCCTCCTCCTCCTCCTGCCCCTCCCCCCGCAGGCTCCAGGGGTCGGGGCGGGGGGGGCGGGGCGGGGTCCGGGGACCCCAAACCCATCCCCCCACCCGGAACCGGAAACGCGAGAGGGCGGCGGGAACGGCCTGGGGGGGAGGGGCGGGGGTCAGCGGGGGGGTGGGGGAGGGGCGATGGGGGAGGGGAACTGGGAATTGGGGGGTGGGGGAGGGGAA